ACCCTATGGACTATAGTCCACCAGGCTCTTCTGTCCATAGACTTTTCCAGGCAAGAATACTGAAGTGGGTTGCCATTTCCTGCTCCAGGGGATCTTCCTGATCCAGGGATTAAGCCCAAACATCTCTTGGGTCTCCTGAATTGGCGGGTGGATTCTTTACCACTGTGCCTCCTGGGAAGCCTATACATATATAGGTTTGGTTGGTTTAACTCACTGTTTATATATATACCTATAAATAAAGCTGAATGCTTAACATATAGTAGGTGCTAAATTAATTTCTTTCATCACTTTTCTCCACAATGATAAAAAATTCACATTAATCTCCTTTATGGTCTCCAAAAATATTTGATTGTTTCTGTGTCATTTTAACATATAATAGAGACCAGAACCAAATCTTTCTTTCATTTTTATTCCCCACAGTTTATAGACAAGGGCTGAACATGAAAAGGTCAGTGAATGTGGAAAGGGTAAACGTTGAGAGTCAGCATAATGCATTTTAAAGATCATAGTGTATTTAATATTGTTAACCCAATTTAGTGTTTATGTGGCCTGGGAAAGTCTTATGCTTCTGTTTCCTCATTTAAAAATGGGATTGAACATCCCTACTCTGCTTTCCTAAGTGTATTGTTATAATCAGAGCATCAAGTAAATACAAAGGACCATTCAAATAGTGCATTTTGATTTGGTTGCTCATTTAATTGCAGTTTATCACATTTGGAGAGTTCACAATGAAAAAGGCAATTCTTTGGCCAGCCTTCCTGATCACAGATATTTGGCTTTTTCTCTGTCCCCAAAAGAGCAAAATTACAGGCTTCCATGATATTCAGTGCAAATGATCTTTATGCACTGTAAAGATTAACACTAGTTTACATCTTGAATGAATAATTAGGAATTTCATGTCTCTGGAGAACAATGCGTCAGCACAGTTCTCCATTAAGATTGTGGCTTTGGCGTCAAATGACCATGTTTAGGTGCTGTTGAGACACCCTGAGACTATTAAGAGAGTCTCAAAGATCTCTAACCAACATAGACAACTGTTTCAAAACACAATTGTGTCAAAGCACAGTTGCAAATGCTTTATTTGATAACTGAGTGGTTATTTGAGGCAGTTGCTTATAATGGTCAGTGTCTCATTGTAACCCCTTGGACTGTAGCCCACCAGGCTCCTCTGTCCATGGGATTTCCCAGGCAAGAATACTGGAGTGGGTTGCCATTTCCTTCTCCAGGGGATCTTCCCGACCCGGGGATCAAACCTGTGTCTCCCGTGTCTCTTACACTGGCAGGCAGATTCTTTACCACTGCACCTGGCAAGCCCCAACCTCTGCTTAACCTGCCTGGAAGGAATGTAAAGTGGGCAAGCTATTCAACCTCTGCTCCACAAAGGCTGTCAGAATTATCTTCCTAAAGAACAAATCTGAGTCACACGCTCCCTGCTGTATTCCAAATACAATCCAGATTCCATGGCTCGAAAATCAGTGTGTTTAACAATGAGGACTCTGCTGGTCACCTTTACACGCATCCAACAAATATTGCCTTATCCCCTACTCTGCCCTCACTATACCATCAGGGCTATGGTTCCTCACTGTTCCTAAGAGGTGCTCTGAGCTCTCTTCTTTGTCTTTGCTTTACCTGCTCGCTCTGTCTGAAATGCAGTTTCTCCTCATAACCTCTTTGCAAAATCTTAACAGTCCAGATCCAGTTTGAGTACCAAGTCTTCCCGACAGCAGTATGTAGAGCTCCCTAGTGACACCACTCTGATAGAAGATTTCGAGCTACCTGTCCCCTTAAACTGTGTTCTTTTAGGGGAGAAGGGCCGTGTCTTTTAGCTTGGATCCTCCATAGCACTTAGCTTGTAAAATTGAATCTCAAGTGAATCTTAAGAATAGCCTCACTAATTTGCCACCTTCGATTAGCTCGTATCATTGCCAAAATGTGATTTGGGTGAACTGGATCAAATGTTTACAGACTAATTGATTTACTTTGGACCCTTTCAACAAAGGCTTCAGTACTGGATTCACTCCAAAAATCAGTCAGATTGCTGGGTTTGTAAAACATGGCCAAAGTAAAGAGGCAAGAGAAATAGAAGCATTTTCATTATAGATTTCAAAGCAATAGCTATTATTCTTTTAACCTGATGTGATGATATGTTTATTTATTCACTCTCTTGAAATGCAGTTCAAATGCACTATTTTATTTCAAACATAATTATACCTTGCCTATACATGTTATAAAAGCTACACATAAAATTTTACATAGAGCTTTATCTGCAAACCAGTGGCTGTGTATAAAAGACATCGCTGTAACTAGTTGAAAAGTAGGGAACTTCATGAAGCTGTATCTTGGCATTACAAAATGGAAAAATATCAACACAATTGGTATCTTTTTGTTTTTTCAAAGATTGGCTGATTTCATCTGACACTATGCAGTGTTAATGTGCTTAAAAATATATCCCCCCTGTCTCTTCTGATTCATCCCCATTCAATCACCCACTGGTTGGTTAGCCCGGGGCAGTTAAGGTAGAGACTTCTCCAGTCAAAGGCATACTCTTTTCCTGCCTAAATCCCAAATCCTATTGGACTTTCTACTCTGCTGGGCCAGCCTAGATTCTTAAGATTTCCTTCGTGGCTCTCTTTTGACACACACAGCAAGCCACAGACCGCCCCACCAGTCTTTCCTCTGAGCCCTGGCCTGCCCTCTTATCCCAGAGTCTTCAACTGTCCTCCCAAACAGAAGGTTTGCACACGTTCAGAGGCCTTCCCAAATCTCACTTCTTTATAACTCTTTCATCCCTCCTTCTGAAACATGTTATTTCTCAGACGTATTATTTCACAAGGAGAAAAGGGATGGAAAGAGAATGATTTTCTTTTTCCCTCTGACTTTTCAAAGTCACAAAATCAGATTCTCTGTCAGGTATGTCCTTAAAGCCAGCCAGGACCCAATCAGTTTTTGAGGATATTAGGGGAAGGGGAATAAACTATTTCTTTTAGACCTTGCAGTTTTGAAGCTTCCAAATACTTTAAAAAGTAAAACAAAAAAATTTATTATTTTTTTCTAAATATACTAAAGTGATAAATCCTAGATGACCTTAAAGCTAAATATTTTTCTTTCTTCTCAATATAATAACTTCCTCTATTCTTCTGTTCTATAGTTTATTATCCCTGTCTACAAACTGAGCCTAATTTATAATGGCTTAAAGCAATATGAGTTTGCATGGAGCAGGGAGTCAATTTTGTACTTCTCAAGGGCAAGAACAACATACATAGAAAGAGAGATAAAGCAGATGTTATTAAGTGCCAACCTTATGAAAAGGATTAAAGGAGGTATTTATTGATACAAATGAATGAACATGAAACTAACGTGGATATCTAAGAGACAAAAACAAGAATTCACATAATTGTACCAAGATCATTTATTGATTGATATTTTAAAATAAAGAAGGCACCTGCTTCTATGAAGTGAAAATTCATTTTAGAAATACTTTTATGTGTCTGATCACTCAAAATAAATGTTTACAGAAAATCCTTAGAAGGTATATTTTTGCTGGAATATTTGTTGTTTTCAAATGTAACATTTTTATGTCATATTTTTCTGGTTTTCTTTTATGACATTCATAGCATAAGGTTTGTTCACAGTCTTGAAGAAATGATCAACTCAAGGTAAATGAAAATTATAAATTTGAGGAAAATGAGGTTAACATGATCAATAAATTTTGTATATAACATAACCATTGCTAATTAAAATTAATTTATTTAATGAAATGTGAATAATACAGTTGGTAATTGTTTCTTATTTATGCAGTCTCTCTCATTAATTAAAAATAAATCAGGATGAAAAGAATAAGTTAAAAGAAAATGTTTAATTTTGTTTGCACTGAAAATGCAATAAAGTTCATTCTTACTATTCTCCTAATATAAATTTATCAAATTCTAGAATGAGAGGGGGTCTTAGAAATTATCTGGCCCAACTGCATCACTTTAGTTCTCTATGCAATCAATGCCCAGGCAGGTCAAGTGCCTGGATCTTTGTTACATAGCTGATTAAGGATTGAGCTGGAACTTGATCCAGAAAATTCCTGACTTTGGGTCTAGGACTTTCCCCACTGTATCTCATTAACTTTAAAATAAAATTCAATCCAAACTGAGTTTTTTATGTTTGGGCTCATGGTAGCTGTGGTTTTCCAGTGCTTCCTACAGTGTTTAGAGAAGGATAAACCGGTATTAATAAGCATGTGGCAGCATTTTAAACTGGATTTGCAGGCGTGAATGGCATTTTTATCCACCTCTTTTGCCAGTATTGAAGGGATATTCCAGCCAGATTCTCTCTGCCACTCTAGTTCCATCGTCTTTCTCTCCCTCTGTGTCACTTTTTTGTGTCTTAAACAAGCCAGTGTGGGGAAAAGATCTTTTTTTCCAGTTCTCTGTTGAGTTAAGACACTGTAATGGTACTATAGGATTTGGTTGAAAAGATTTCTTACTCCATTTAGTAGATATATAATAGAAGATATTACAGGAAAAGATTTGGCAGTTGAGAAATGAGCATGTCTGCGAATGTTTATCTAAGGCTAAAGCATTTCTGACTTTGGGTTGCAAGTTTAAATTCTGTAGTTTGTGAGAGATTAAAGAATCTCCAAGCATTACTATTTCTTCAAGAACAAGCATGCTTATTTCACTTATTCATTGAATCATAATTACTAAGCATGCTTTAAATAATACTAGTCAGCTGATGTAGCTACATAATATTTGAGAAGTAAGGTGTAAATATGGACAGTACTAATCAAATGAATACACGTTGCAAAGAAACCAAACTTGCATAATGAAGTATTTCCAATTTCTTACTGGGAAGTTTTAAATAAGTATTACTTTCAGTTTGACATACAGAGAATAATAAAATAAAGTAATTTGAACTTTTTCCTAAACATTTCATCAATAAGAAAATTCTTACATTTGATTCTAAATTTCTAAAAGTAGTATTATTCAAAGAACAAAATTGTATTAACTTACGGCCCTGATGCTTTCAAAATGTCCACCTTCCTTTTCAAAATTGATAGGCTGTCCTTTTAGTGTCCAGGAGAAAGTGACATCCAAACTAGGATCGTGAATTGCTTTGCAGTTAAGGACAATGCTTTCTCCCACTGTTAACTCTGTTCTTTTAGGAGTAAGCTCTATTCTTGTAGGTTCTATAGAAATAAAAATACATTAATTAGTATAGCACATCATTTTCCCCTGCATTCTGTATTTTAAATAATAGAGAAAAATTAAACAAGGAATCTATGTGATATAGTTGCTCCAGGTAGGTATCTTTTAATAAACTATTAATTGAAATATCTTTTATTGTATTTAGGGTATTTTGCTAGGTATTTGTAGGGAACTGATGATTTAAAAGTCACCATTCCTATTAACAAGTCAGCTTGGATGAAAAAGAGGGAAGACTATACAGCTAGAAACAGCATTTGGCATCCTGGAAGGAGAAATATTAGAAAAAAGATTGTAGCTTCCCTGTCCACCTTCAAGGATCATCATGTTTAGAAAGGATTTTTACTAAAAAAAAGCCTCACATCGAAGGAAGAATAATTCAAGCAAGTTCACTTCTTTAAAGGTTATAGGAAGCACCTCCCTTCAAATTTCTATCTTCACAAAGACAAAACTATACTACTCCTGTACCACCTTGTATTCTTTGTAGTTTACAAAACCTTCTTGTAAGTAGAGGAGCAGAAGAGGTTCCTCTGGCTGATTATAAAATATCACCTCCAATAGATGCTTTGACTGAGATCTAAACAAAGGCAAAATAGTGAATAGAATTTTTTTAAGAAAAAAATGTTTACATTAACTAATGATTCACTTTAATTTTTAAAAGATAGCTATATTTTTACTGGATGTAGAACAACTTTAAACCAATAAATGCTAATACCAACTGTACATCTAAAGGATATTTAAGCTAATGATCAAATACATACAATATGAGATATATATATACATATATATATATATGTTTGAATAAATAGGGAAATGATGCAGACAGGATTTTGATTTTTTTTTTTCCTAATTAGATTCCTGATTGTACATGACTCAAGAAGCCTGGCACAAACTTTTAAAATTTAGCCTAATTTAAAAAAAAAAATTTAGCCTAATTTTCCGATTCCAGCTCTATTGTTTGCAATAGCATAGTCTGATGAAGCGCCATTGTTAACTATTGATAAGTTCCTTCTAAGCAGCCTCTGAGAGGAAAGAGTGACACCAGGAAAGGAATGTCACTGTAAATATTAACATTCGGGAACTCAGATATAATGTGTGGCATTCTAAATTCTGGCTTCATCAGAGAAGACAGATAATCACAGCATACTGCAGTTTAAACTTTGTGACAACTGGAATGTTCTGAGTAACTAAACATTCCACTTAAATCATGGTTAACAGAAAGCATTGTTGCTATTATTAAATGAAAAAGTCTGTGAAATCTGCCTTGCTTCACTATGGAAAAGGTTATTTAACACACACTAAGAATGAGACTCAAATTTGAAGACTGACTTGTGTTCCAGTAATGTATGCTCTAAGTGAAGACATTTTAAAAATTATGTTCCTTTCTTCTGTGGATGTTTGCCTCTTTTCTAAAATATCAGAGTGCCGGCTATTTTAATTACATTTCTACTTCTAAAGAAAGACAAAATTAACATTTTATATTTCTGTGGCCAAAGTATGATTCACTGTATACTACATGCACAAATGGAAAAAAAACAAAAAACGAGTGATGTACTTTGTTGTGAAAAGCATTCCTTTGTCAAATGAAGAGAGTGTTTAAGACAGGAAATTTTCTTATAATTTGACAAGTAGTCGCAAAAGAAGGTTCTAGATTTGAAATCTAGTTCACTTTAGAACTAGAAAACTAACAGAAACATTTAAGCGGTGATATTTATAATACTAAAAAATGACAATGTATAAAAATTCCACTGATGTCGACATCAAAGAGTAGCTCTGGTGTTGCTTCAGCTGATGCATATTCCAACACCACATGTTCATATCCTCTTTCTGCTTCTCTTTTTGGCCCCAAATTCCCAGTTGAAATAGTAACAAAGCAGTATTACTGACTGATGCTAAAATTAATCTTGGTTGAGGAAAATATTTTTACTCTACTGGCATACTTAAAATTTTTGAGATACCAACTAAAACTTCAGAAAGCTTTCTTTACCCTCCCACATATTTTGTTCAGAGCGAAATACTTAAATTTCTACCAATAATATGTTCCTTTCTTCACAGTCCCCTAAATAACGAAAAGGGACAATTGACTGTGTTTGTCCTTTATGTGCAATTAGATTTCATCAACAGAAGCATGTACACGCATACAAGCAAACACACATACACGCGTGTTACATTTATTCTCTTTCAGATAAAGCCATGAAACTATGCTTATAGAAAATTCACCACATTTTCTTACCTTTTACAGATACTGTAGCTGTGATTTCAGCAGAACCAAAGACATTTTCCCCTCGGCAAACGTACTTTCCCTCATCTGATTTAGAAGCATTTAGGATCCGGAGACTCCCGTCTGGAAGAATAGCTATTCTGAAAATTATTAAAAAGGGATTTTTTTTCCTGTTTTACTGCAAACCATCTAAGTGGTAAGAAACGCTGATGAAATTTGAAACCACTTCCAAGGTAATAACAAATAAGATAAAGATCACTGTGAAAACATGCAGGGAGAGTAGAAATATTTTGCCCTTCAAAAAATTATATGGTAAACCTACATAATACCTTCTTATAGTTAAAAGGGTTAGGGAGTTACAGGTTGTCTTTTGACACATTTATGACATTCATTTTAAAAGTTGTGGGGAAAAAAGGTGACCCTGAATTTAGTTATTAAAACTTACACTATAATAACACCCAGTGATATTTTAATATTAAGCTTGAGGTATTTCACCTCAAACCAAGAATGACCTCAAAAATCAAATATAAAAAGAAATAGCATAAAACATAGAGGAGGACAAGCACAGAACATAAAATTAATTGTATACAGCCTGGAGATGATTTATGGTGGTTTCTCTGCAGTGCAACCTGTGTAGCAAGGGCATGACAATGAAGCCTGAATCCTGGAATCTGGACTGCTCACACTGCACTTTTCAAACAGAAAAACGTGATATCTGAGTTTGCATTTGGGCTCTTTTGAGACCTTTATTATAAGTGGACCTTGAGTCTTATATGAAGGTGAGAAATTAGAGCATTATTAAAAATTTCAGAAGTTTAGTGAAAATGAGGTTGACATTCAGGATTACCACATTCTCCTGTGTATTCATCATTCCAGAAATATACAGATTTCAAACTTAATTAGAATTTTTGTCCTTTTCTCCCTCATATGCTCCTGAAATATAATATATTATTTCACCAGTGCATCAGTGAAGCAACCTGAGGCATAGCAGATATGGCTGTCGTGATTTATCTGATATGCCACTAGAATCTAGACTGCCGTCTTTTAGGAAAAAAGTCTGTAATACTTTTGGTAGAAAACCAAAGCTCTCACAGAACTTAAAATTCTAAATTGGATTCTCCTGGTTCTGGAAAGAATAGTTTATTCCAAGCCATCATAAAAACATTAAACTGTTTAAGGTATAAGAATAATGGCTAAATCTGTTTAGTCAGCACTCTATATGTTATTTTAACATTAGTATTCAATCTTGCCAATCAATCATGAACTGATGGCTAAGGACAGTATTGAAATTTTAACAACTGGATTAGATTCTAGGCTGCTAAATATTGATTATTAATTTTCCTGACATTGTCATCCATAAAGAAACCAGTTTAAAAACATTATACTGCTTTCAATATGGATCAAATTTGATTTACAATGTGTTGACAAGGGAGACAAATTTAGAAGCAAGCCAAGCTAGGAATAGAAGATTTGACTGTAATTTACATTTAAGAAGGATATTAATGAGACATTTGGAAAAAACAGTGATCTCTAAAGATATACCATCTATTTAGGATGGTCAATGAAAAATTCTGTTTATTATTTAGGACCGTTTCTATAAAGATAGAATATAATATTTTTATTCTATTTTAGTAACAGAAATACACCTGCTACAAAAAGATGTATTTTAAAGCAAAAATTATACTTTTTATAAACTAACGAGTCTTCTCTTGTACTAATGACATACTTTATTTAAATACAGCTAAATTACTACAGTTTGCGAGATTGTTAGTATCTTAAATATGTCTGGATGTTACTTACTGGTGTAAATTCTAATCTAGCAGGGGAGGAGTTTGGCTTTAAAATTCACCACCTTTAAAGAAATAAATATATCTTAGATACTGGCAGTATTTCAACTCTTGATTTAAGATAAGTCCTTTCTCACTGACAGGAGGCAATATATTACAAAGATAGTTTATGAACACTCCTGTACTTTAGGCCACTGATCCATTTGGAGGATGAAGAATTTTGAATATCATGATGTTTTTTTATCTGTCAATTGGCAGGGTCATTTAACCAAAAGACTGTCTACTGGTTGAATTTGCAAATCCTTATCAGATAAACTTTTTTTTTTTTTTAGAAAAGAAAAAAAATAGAATAGACTATGAATGCAATTAACATTATAATGTCTGGCTATTGCAAACATAAATACTTAAATAATTGAATGTTTAATTAATATTTCTTTACAGTTTCCTGCTTCTTTATCTTCTTCCCTGTGCTATTACCATGTGATTCCTACATTTGGAATCTTCAGCTGTGGAGACCAATTCTGCTGAGAACTCCTTAACTTGGAGTGGGATGCTCAGTGAGTGGTAGGTGAAGGTCTACTGTGGAAATGTTAGTAATACAGGCCAGCATTCTAGCATTTTGTATAGAGCTGCTCTCTTCTGGTCTCTAAGCTTCTCCCCAGGTTTCTGCCTAGACCTGGAGACATCTTGCTTCTCATCTTGCACTTAATTATTGGATCTCTATCTTGGTAACTCATCTAGTACCACAATCTACCTAGGACACCATGATGCTTACCCCTATCTTGCATGGATTTAATGCTAACTTACTTATGCCAATTCTGATCTCCAAATTTCAGGATCATTTTCTGGACTCTCCATTTCCATGTTTGACTTACTTGTCAGACAACACAGCCTAGTTTAGACCCTTCCAAGTACTTGACTGGGAGTACAACCTATACGTGCTTAGTCATTCAGTCATGTATGACTCTTTGTGATCCCATGGATGGTAGCCCACCAGGCTTATTCTCCAGACAAGAATACTGGAGTGGGTTGCCATTTCCTTCTCCAGGCGATCTTCCCAACCCAGGTGTCGAACTTGTCTCTCTTGCATCTCCTGCAATGGCAGACAGATTGTTTACTGCTGAGTCCCCAGGAAAGCCCTGGGTCATGTCAGAGTGGATATCATATTAGGAAACCATTAATCACAAATTAAAACTGTGTGCTTTAAAGTCAGAGAGGATTACCTTCACATCACTGCCACTGACCACTACATATGTGATCTTATGTGCATACACTCACCTAGAGCCAGACATCCTGGAATGTGAAGTCAAGTGGGCCTTAGGAAGCATCACTATGAACAAAGCTGGTGGAGATGATGGAATTCCAGTTGAGCTATTTCAAATTCTAAAAGATGATGCTTTGAAAGTGCTGCACTCAAGATGCCAACAAATTTGGAAAACTCAGCAGTGGCCACAGGACTGGAAAAGTTCAGTTTTTATTCCAATACCAAAGAAAGGCAACCCTAAAGAATGCTCAAACTACCACACAATTGCACTTACACGCTAGTAAAGTAATGCTCAAAATTCTCCAAGCCAGGCTTCACCGATATGAGAAACATGAACTTCCAGATGTTCAAGTTGGTTTTAGAAAAGGCAGAGGAACCAGAGATCAAATTGCCAACATCCACTGGATCATAGAAAAAGCAACAGAGTTCCAGAAAAACACCTACTTCTGCTTTATTGACCATTCCAAAGCCTTTGACTGTGTGGGTCACAATAAACTGTGGAAAATTCTGAAAGAGATGGGAATACCAGACCACCTGACCTGCCTCTTGAGAAACCTGTATGCAGGTCAGGAAGCAACAGTTAGAACTGGACACGGAACAACAGATTTGTTCCACATAGGAAAAGGAGTATGTCAAGGCTATATATTGTCACTCTGCTTATTTAACTTATATGCAGAGTACATCATGAGAAACGCTGGGCTGGAGGAAGCACAAGCTGGAATCAAGATTGCCGGGAGAAATATCAATAACCTCAGATATGCAGATGACACCACCCTTATGGCAGAAAGTGAAGAGGAACTAAAGAGCCTCTTGATGAAAGTGAAAGAAAAGAGTGAAAAAGTTGGCTTTAAGCTCAACATTCAGAAAACTAAGATTATGGCATCTGGTCCCATCACTTCATGGCAAATAGATGAGGAAACAGTGGAAACAGAGGCTGACTTTATTTTTCTGGGCTCCAAAATCCCTGTAGATGGTGATTGCAGCCATGAAATTAAAAGACACTTACTCCTTGGAAGGAAAGTTATGCCCAAACTAGACAGCATATTAAAGCGCAGAGACATTACTTTGCCAACAAAGGTCCATCTAGTCAAGGCTATGGTTTTCCAGTGGTCATGCATGGATGTGAGAGTTGGACTATAAAGAAAGCTGAGCGCTGAAGAATTGATGCTTTTGAACTGTGATGTTGGAGAAGACTCTTGAGAATCCCTTGAACTGCAAGGAGATCCAACCAGTCCATCTTAAAGCAGATCAGTCCTGGGTGTTCATTGGAAGGACTGATGTTGAAGCTGAAATTCCAAAACTTTGGCCACCTGATGCGAAGAGCTGACTCATTTGAAAAGACCCTGATGATGGGGAAGATTGAGGGCAGGAAAAGAAGAGGACGACAGAGGATGAGATGGTTGGATGACATCATTGACTCAATGGACATGGGTTTGGGTGGACTCCAGCAGTTGGTGATGGACAGGGAGGCCTGGCATGCTGTGGTTCATGGGGTCGCAAATAGTCGGACACAACTGAGCAAGTGAACTGAACTGAACTGAAGTCACCTCAGTCGTGTTTGACTCTTTGCAGTCCTATGGACCATAGACCACCAGGCTCCTCTGTCCATGGGATTCTCCAGGCAAGAATACTGGAGTGGGTTGCCATGCCCTCCTCCAGGGCATCTTCCCGACCCAGGGATGGAACCCTCATCTCTTATGTCTCCTGCATTAACAGGTGGGCTCTTTACTGCTAGTGCCATCCAAGAAGCCTTATGTGTGATCTTAAAACTACTCAATCTCTGTCCTTATAGGTATTACTGTCATGATTACATCTAACTAGGTCTTTAAAAGTATTAACCTCATAGTATATGTAAATTGTTGTGTTTTTGTGCTGTGTAGGCAGTAATTCAACATTTACTCAAAAATTTAAGTCAAATACGTGACAAATTTTGAAAGAGAAAAAGTGGTGCTGGGAGAGTTTCTACTACTAAAGCCTTAATTATTTAGGGTGATTGGTGAATGTTCTCTGAGGGAAGTATGACACTGAAACCTGAGGGGTGAGAAAGAGTCAACCAGGTGAAGATTGGGAAAGCAGAGGGAGTGATGCT